GAGAGCGCGACGCTGCAAAACGTACCAGAGAGCACCGCCTCCAACAGCCTGTGGTCATGTGTAAAGGTGCAGACCCTCAGTCGTGGGTGGTCAGATAGTGAAGCCGTCAGTCATTGGAGGTTACTAGTTATTGTAGTCAGATCATTGGGGGGGGGGGGGTTATGAGGCGTTTAGGCACCCAGCATCCACCTCACCGCCGCCGTATCGCCCACGGGGTGAACCTCAGCTGTCTTCCCTTCCCTCTTGACCTTCGTCCACCTCGCCTTCGTTTCATCCCTCGCTCCTTTCAGTGGTGGAGCTGAGGTGGGGGGGGGGCTGTCAGGAAAGGAGTGAAGAGTGTGTGTGTGTGTGTGTGTGTGTGTGTGTGTGTGTGTGTGTGTGTGTGTGGGGGGGGGGGGTGATGAGGCTTCAGCGTTGTCTGGATGGATTAGCCGGATGACTTTGAGGGGTTTGTTCTCTTGTCTTTGAGCGCACAGACGGCTCACTGTACACCCCCCCTTCCTCCGCCTCCCCCCTTAAATCTTCACCTCTCCCTCTCAATATTTGTCTCCCCCCTCGTTCCTGACGTCTCATTAAAACTCCGCAGCGTCACTCAGACTCTCTGATCAGACTGCAGAAGTGAAACTGTGTCTCTATGAGAGTTACTGTTTCAATCAAAAAAACTACATTTCCCAGAATTCCTGAGTTGACCTGCAGGATCATGGCTGGTTCCGGTCCGGTACTCTAGACTCTGGCTCTGAGGTAGACCCTGTACCCCCAGTCATATAAAGCTGGTTTTTGTCCCTACCGTAGTCGGGAAGGTCCCGCCCTCCCTCCTGATTGGCTTGAAATTGCCCTGAAAATGCTGGGCTCCGATTGGTTAGGATTAAGATAAGGATTAGGATTAGGATTAGGGTTAGGGTTAGGGTTAGGATTAGGATTAGGAATGGTCTGAGGGTTAGGATTACTATATCGATTAGTGAAAGGGTTAAGATTCGGGTTAAGATTAGGATTAGTGATTGGGTCAGGATTAGGATTAGGGTTAGGATTAGGGTTAGGTTTAGGAGATTCAGAATTGCGATAATGTCCTGTTTGATGTTCGGAGCTGACAGCTCTCTGATTGGCTTGATCGTGTGATGATGACTGTAAACTGACTGACAGGTCTCCGGTTTAAAGGAGGATTCCACCTTTTTTTGATTCTGAGTGTCAGTGACGATGTAAGCCTTTGACCTTTGACCTTCTCATACTGTAGACTGAAACGCCGTCTTCACGTCGACCTTGAGGTGTAGTCTGGAGGTCAAAGGTCAGCATGTTCTATGACTTCATGAATAATCACACGCTCATCTCCTCTCTTTAACTCTTCCTTCCTCTTCATCTGTCCTTGTTTTGCCTCCTTTCCTCCCCCCTTTCCTCCCCCCCGTCTCTCGGTGCGTGATTGATGTCACCGGCGAGCATTAACACTTCTCACGCTGCTCGTACACGGAGGAGGCAGAGGGGGAGGCGGCGCCGCGTACATGAACGATTGATTACCTTAGCGCTTCTCACTGATGACTCCCCCGCTTACCCCCCCCCACCTGGAATCGATAACCAGCAGCTCTTTCTTTATCTCCCCCCTCAGATCCCCCCACGTCTCCTCGACTCCCCCAATCAGGGTGGAGGAGCTCATGCAGCAATTATGAAGGAGAGACGCATTAGCATAGAGGAAAATAATTAAAACAAACAAAGTGAGGCGGCAGGGGACCCCCCGGAGAGGGGGGGAGAGAGGGGGAGAGAGGGGGGGAGAGAGGGGGAGAGAGGGGGGGAGAGAGGGAGAGAGAGGGAGAGAGAGAGGGGGAGAGAGAGAGAGAGAGAGAGGGGGAGAGAGAGAGGGGGAGAGAGGGAGAGAGAGAGGGGGAGAGAGAGGGAGAGAGGGGGAGAGAGAGAGAGAGGGAGAGAGGGGGGGAGAGAAGTGAGTAATGCTGCACAAAAAAAAAAAAACAGTTTTAATTGCTCCACGCCGAGGTTCTGCCATTTATCTCCAACTCTGACGCTGCGGAGGCAACAACGATGGCGGCGGCGTTTCATTCCTCACTTTAGTTCAGACGAGGTACACACACACACACACACACACACACACACACACACACACACACACATACACACACACACATACACACTATTACACTCACTAATACACACTTATACACTTTACTTTGGACGAGAGTTTGGGAAGGTGTGTAAGGTACACACACACTAATACACTGAAGTTCGGACAACAGGTGTGTTAAAAGGTACACATACACACACACGCACACACACACACACACAGACACACACTATTACACACACTAATACACACTAATAAGCACACTAATACACACTAATACACAGAGGGACAGAAACACACACTAACAGACACACACTAACCATCAAACTTTAAGAGAATCAGCCCAACAAAGACGAGTCAGAGTGAACCGGCACACACACACTCAGCAGCTGTAGTTGTGCGTGTGTGTGTGTGTGTGTATGTGTGTGTTGTGTGTGTGTGTGTGTGTGTGTGTATGTGTGTGTTGTGTGTGTGTGTGTGTGTGTGTGTGTCCAGTGTTTCCAGTTTTCACACAGATGTTCACTTTCTCTCCTGCAGCTCCTCTCTTACTTCCTCCCCTCTCATCTCTGAACGTCTTTGTGTTGCTGTGTGTGTGTGTGTGTGTGTGTGTGTGTGTGTGTGTGTGTGTGTGTGTGTGTGTGCGGTCCTTTGAGCCGGCTCCCCGCTGACGCTGCAGGGTGTGAGTCGTCACACTCGCCGAGGGCCGACCGCCACGTTAGCTGGAGAGGCTGAAACTCCATTTTCAGTTATTCGGTGTTTGAAGGATGAAAGTGTCTCTCTCTCTCTCTCTCTCTCTCTCTCTCTCTGTCCCCCCCCCCCCCCCATGGAAGTCCACTTCTTTAATTAAAGGCACAGTCTGCTGTATTTTGCTGTTTTTCCCCAGATGAAACATTATTGACCTAAAGAGACTCAGAGCAGAAAGAGACGATGTGAGACTGAGAGTGTGTGTGTGTGTGTGTGTGTGTGAGTGTGTGTGTGTGTGTGTGTGTGTGTGTGTGTGTGTGTGTGTGAGATAACGAAACAGCTGAGTCTGTTTACTCATCCAAAACTCCATAAAACAGATTTACCCTTTACTTCCACTTCCTCTGTTTCCTTTTCTGTTTCCTGTCTGTGGTGAAGTTTGACCTTCCTGACCGCTTCATTAACACAAGTACACTAGGGAACAAGTACACTAGGGAACAAGTACACTAGGGAACAAGTACACTAGGAAACAAGTTCACTAGGGAACAAGTACACTAGGGAACAAGTACACTAGGGAACAAGTACACTAGGGAACAATAAACTAGGGAACAAGTACACTAGGGAACAAGTTAACTAGGGAACAAGTTAACTAGGGAACAAGTACACTAGGGAACAAGTACACTAGGGAACAATAAACTATGGAACAAGTACACTAGGGAACAATAAACTAGGGAACAAGTACACTAGGGAACAATAAACTAGGAAACAAGTTAACTAGGGAACAAGTACACTATCGAACAAGTTAACTAGGGAACAAGTACACTAGGGAACAATAAACTAGGGAACAAGTTAACTAGGGAACAAGTACACTATCGAACAAGTTAACTAGGGAACAAGTACACTAGGGAACAAGTACACTAGGAAACAAGTTAACTAGGGGAACCATTACACTATCGAACAAGTAAACTAGGAAATAAGTTAACTAGGGAACAAGTACACTAGGGAACAAGTACACTAGGGAACAAATTAACTAGGGAACAAGTACACTAGGGAACAAGTACACTAGGGAACAAGTGAACTAGGGGACAATTACACTAGAGAACAAGTACACTAGGGAACAAGTACACTAGGGAACAAGTTAACTAGGGAACATTAAACTAGGGAACAAGTAAACTAGGAAACAAGTTAACTAGGGAACAAGTACACTAGGGAACAAGTACACTAGGGAACAAGTTAACTAGGGAACAATAAACTAGGGAATTAGTTAACTAGGGAACAAGTACACTAGGGAACAAGTACACTAGGGAACAAGTTAACTAGGGAACAACAAACTAGGGAACAAGTTAACTAGGGGACAAGTACACTAGGGAACAAGTACACTAGGAAATTAGTTAACTAGGGAACAGGTACACTAGGGAACAAGTTAACTAGGGAACAATAAACTAGAGAACCAAAAACTAGGGAACAAGTACACTAGGGAACAAGTACACTAGGGAACAAGTACACTAGGGAACAAGTACACTAGGGAACAAGTACACTAGGGAACAAGTACACTAGGGTACAGGTACACTAGGGAACAAGTTAACTAGGGAACAAGTACACTAGGGAACAAGTACACTAGGGAATTAGTTAACTAGGGAACAAGTTAACAAGGGAACAAGTACACTAGGGAACAAGTACACTAGGGAACATTTAACTAGGGAACAAGTACACTAGGGAACAAGTACACTAGGGTACAAGTACACTAGGGAACAAGTGAACTAGGGAACAAGTACACTAGGGAACAAGTACACTAGGGAACAAGTACACTAGGGAACAAGTGAACTAGGGAACAAGTACACTAGAGAACAAGTACAGTAGGGAACAAGTACACTAGGGAACAAGTACACTAGGGAACAAGTTAACTAGGGAACAAGTACACTAGGGAACAAGTACACTAGGGAACAAGTTAACTAGGGAACAATAAACTAGGGAACAAGTTAACTAGGGAACAAGTACACTAGGGAACAAGTACACTAGGGAATTAGTTAACTAGGGAACAAGTACACTAGGGAACAAGTTCACTAGGGAACAAGTACACTAGGGAACAAGTTAACTAGGGAACAAGTACACTAGGGAACAAGTTAACTAGGGAACAAGTACACTAGGGAACAAGTACACTAGGGAACATTTAACTAGGGAACAAGTACACTAGGGAACAAGTACACTAGGGAACAAGTACACTAGGAAACAAGTACACTAGGGAACAAGTACACTAGGGAACAAGTACACTAGGGAACAAGTACACTAGGGAACAAGTAAACTAGGGAACAAGTACACTAGGGAACAAGTTAACTAGGGAACAAGTTAACTAGGGAACAAGTACACTAGGGAACAAGTACACTAGGGAACAATAAACTATGGAACAAGTACACTAGGGAACAATAAACTAGGGAACAAGTACACTAGGGAACAATAAACTAGGAAACAAGTTAACTAGGGAACAAGTACACTATCGAACAAGTTAACTAGGGAACAAGTACACTAGGGAACAATAAACTAGGGAACAAGTTAACTAGGGAACAAGTACACTATCGAACAAGTTAACTAGGGAACAAGTACACTAGGGAACAAGTACACTAGGAAACAAGTTAACTAGGGGAACCATTACACTATCGAACAAGTAAACTAGGAAATAAGTTAACTAGGGAACAAGTACACTAGGGAACAAGTACACTAGGGAACAAATTAACTAGGGAACAAGTACACTAGGGAACAAGTACACTAGGGAACAAGTGAACTAGGGGACAAGTACACTAGAGAACAAGTACACTAGGGAACAAGTACACTAGGGAACAAGTTAACTAGGGAACATTAAACTAGGGAACAAGTAAACTAGGAAACAAGTTAACTAGGGAACAAGTACACTAGGGAATAAGTACACTAGGGAACAAGTTAACTAGGGAACAATAAACTAGGGAATTAGTTAACTAGGGAACAAGTACACTAGGGAACAAGTACACTAGGGAATAAGTTAACTAGGGAACAACAAACTAGGGAACAAGTTAACTAGGGGACAAGTACACTAGGGAACAAGTACACTAGGAAATTAGTTAACTAGGGAACAGGTACACTAGGGAACAAGTTAACTAGGGAACAATAAACTAGAGAACCAAAAACTAGTGAACAATAAACTAGGGAACAAGTACACTAGGGAACAAGTACACTAGGGAACAAGTTAACTAGGGAACAAGTACACTAGGGAACAAGTACACTAGGGTACAGGTACACTAGGGAACAAGTTAACTAGGGAACAAGTACACTAGTGAACAAGTACACTAGGGAATTAGTTAACTAGGGAACAAGTTAACAAGGGAACAAGTACACTAGGGAACAAGTACACTAGGGAACATTTAACTAGGGAACAAGTACACTAGGGAACAAGTACACTAGGGTACAAGTACACTAGGGAACAAGTGAACTAGGGAACAAGTACACTAGGGAACAAGTACACTAGGGAACAAGTACACTAGGGAACAAGTGAACTAGGGAACAAGTACACTAGAGAACAAGTACAGTAGGGAACAAGTACACTAGGGAACAAGTACACTAGGGAACAAGTTAACTAGGGAACAAGTACACTAGGGAACAAGTACACTAGGGAACAAGTTAACTAGGGAACAATAAACTAGGGAACAAGTTAACTAGGGAACAAGTACACTAGGGAACAAGTACACTAGGGAATTAGTTAACTAGGGAACAAGTACACTAGGGAACAAGTTCACTAGGGAACAAGTACACTAGGGAACAAGTTAACTAGGGAACAAGTACACTAGGGAACAAGTTAACTAGGGAACAAGTACACTAGGGAACAAGTACACTAGGGAACATTTAACTAGGGAACAAGTACACTAGGGAACAAGTACACTAGGGAACAAGTTCACTAGGGAACAATAAACTAGGGAACAAGTTTACTGGGAAACAATAAACTAGGGAACAATAAACTAGGGAACAATAAACTAGGGAACAAGTAAACTAGGGAACAATAAACTAGGGAACAATAAACTAGGGAACAAGTAAACTAGGGAACAATAAACTAGGGAACAAGTACACTAGGGAACAAGTACACTAGGGAACAAGTGCACTAGGGAACAATAAACTAGGGAACAATAAAGTAGGGAACAAGTACAATAGGGAACAAGTAAACTAGGGAAAAATAAACTAGGGAACAATAAACTAGGAAACAAAGAACTAGGAAACAACAAGGGAACAAGTAAACTAGGTAACAAGTGAACTAGGGAACAAGTAATTAGGAAACAACTAGGGAACTAGTAAATGATCTGACTTCAGTCAAACTGAAATCGTTAAACTGCGGCGGCTGAGCGCGCTCCATGTTCTCCATATTTGTCGTCTACATTAACATGCAGCCGCAGCAGCCCGCCACTCGCTCGCTCTCTCTCGCTCGCTCTCTCGCTCTGAGAGGAACTCAACATCATCAACACGGCGGCTGTAGCTGCAGGCGAAAACAACACGCCTTTAAACGCACCCTGTCGAAGAAGAAACGCTCTCAGTCTCTCCGAGCTCGTCTAATCGTGGGCTTCCTGTTTTTGTTGCTCTGTATGAATATGAGTGTGTGTCTGTGTGTCTGTGTGTGTGTGTTTAAATCCCTGGGTGCTCTCTCTCTCTCTCTCCCTCCCTCTCTCTCTCTCCCTCTCTCTCCCTCTCTCTCTCTCTCTCTCTCTCGGCGTGATATCAGGCGCCCATGGATCCTCAGAAGCAGGAATTACCAGTTAATGCACCTCTGAAGAGAGCATCTGCACTTAAGACAATTATACCACAGATGGGTGTGTAGGGTGTGTGTGTGTGTGTGTGTGTGTGTGTGTGTGTGTGTGTGAGGGGGAGACGACAAAGAGAATACAGAGTGTTACAGGCAGAGAGGATGGTGGGAAAACAGGGAGAAGAAGAAGAAGAAGAAGAGCTTTCTGTGTCTGTGAAAAACACTTTCCTCCAAAATCCGTTTTCCTCGCCGCCGCCGCCGCCACCGCCGCTCTGAGGCTTCAAAACGTTCGCTGGGAGAAAAGCTGTGTTTGTAAGGTCCTGAAATAAACCTCAAAGTCAGCTCACACACACACACACACACACACACACACACACACACACACACACCTATCCTGGCGATCTCAGGTGAGGAGAAGAAGCTAGTGTGTGTGTGTGTGTGTGTGTGTGTGTGTGTGTGTGTGGACAAGGTTCGAAGGAAGTACTGAGGTTCAAGGAGGTTAGGAGGTGAGAAAGCATGCAAGGACAGTGGACAAGGAAGTGAGGAAGCATGGAAGGACACGACACCACCAACAAAAGAAGAGAAGAGGAGATCACAGCAGTAATCAGAGAGGGGACAAGGAAATAGGGAACAAGGAAACAATGAGGGAACAAGTAAACAAGGAAACAATGAGGGAACAAGTAAACTAGGAAAAAAACTAGGGAACAAGTAAACCAGAGAACTAGGGAACAAAAATTCTAAGGGAACAAGTATTCTAGGAATCAAGTAAACTAGGGAACAATGAGGGAACAAGAATTCTAGAGAGCAAGTATACTAGGGAACAAGCTCCCGCCCCCTCCCTGTGACATCAGCACGCTGACCCGCCCCCAGGGCGAACCGACTGGTCTGCTTTAAAATGAACTCCTGCCGCTCTGACCTGAGCTCACACTGAGCATGTGCACAGGCGTGATGGAAGAAAGGAGAGTTCATTAAGGGGGGGTTCCTCCTCCTCCTCCTCCTCCTCCTCCTCTTCTCCCTCCAGTCCTACTTTTAACTCCCCTCCGCTGGAGTCGGCGGTCCATCTCGCGCCGCAGATTGCCTATGACAGCCGCGCTTTTTCAAGTCAGGGGTTTGAGCTAAATTGGAGTGAGCAATACCACCTGTGCCTGCTGAAGGGCCGCTCCGGTTCACGCCGCCGCCGCCGCCGCTCTGCTGCAGAGAGGAAGTGAGGCGGGGGGAGGGGGGGTGAAAAAGCTGCTACCTGCGACCATCAAAGCTTCACTCTCACATGAAATCTGCCCAGCTGGTTCCCTGAGAGGAGGCGAACGACCGCTGCTGCCTCTCCTTCCTCACTTCCATCCTTCTATTCCTCCTTCTCTCCTCACCTCGCTCCCTCTGCAGATGTGTTTCCTCCTCTCCTCCCCCCTCTCTCTCTCTCTCTTCAGTCCCTCCAGTTAACCCTTTAATGAACATGTTTGGGATTTAAACCAGTTTCCAGAATAATCAGATTTAAGATCATTTACAGTCAGGATTCATCATCAGTGTGTCGAAAAACCTTTTTATTCTCCTCTTTTTAATGAACATTTATCTGTTTTTATTTCCTTTAACTGAACATTATTACTGATCTAAACCTTTTTATTCTCCTCTCTTTAACATTTATCTGTTTTTATTTCCTTTGACTGAACTCTATGACTAATTTAAAACATAATAAAGTCTGAGTGTCTGATTTAGAGCAGACTGAAATAAGAAGTAAAAAAACCCTCAAAAACAGCAAACAGATAAACAAGAACACAGCTCTGTGATAGAAATATGAAGTGTTCTAGGGAACAAGTCAACGAGGGAACAAGTGAATGAGGAAACAAGTATTTTAGGGAACAAGTCAACTAGGGAACAAGAGAATGAGGAACTAGGGAACAGGTATTCTAGGGAACAAGTAGACAAGGGACAAAAAAACTAGGGAACAAGTATTCTACGGAACAAATAAACTAGGGAACAGAATAAGGGAAAAAGTATTTCAAGTAAAAGGTATTCTAGTAAACAAGTATTCTAGGGAACAAATATTCTAGGGAACATTAAAATAGGGAACAAGTAAACAAGTTTACTAGGGAAAAAAAGAGGGAACTAGTAAACTACGAAACAAGTTAACAGGGAAACAAGTAGGGAACTAGTGTTCTAGGGTACAGGTTGACTAGGGAACAAGTAAACTAGGGAACAAGTAAACAAGGGAACAGAACTAGGGAACAATTATTCTAGGGAATAAGTAAACCAGGGAACAAGTAAACTAGAGAACAACGAGGGAACTAGTAAACTAGGGAATAAGTTAAGTAGGAAACAACCAGGGAGCAAGTATTCTTGGAAACAAGTAAACTTGGGAACAAGTAAACTAGGGAACAAGAAGGGAACAAGTCCAGTTGGTTCAGATAAACAATAATTCAGGTGAGTGATGTTTAGTGATAAATATCAATAAAGTTTATTTATGAATCAGGTTTAAAAACAAACAATAAAAACAGGATTTACAGAAAAAAGTTGAATATTTGATTCAGTTTCAGCTCAGAAAGGGTTAAAACATCAAACTGAATTCATGTGTTCATTCAGGTCACATGACCCTCCGTCAGTTTCAGCGGCGTGTTTAGGATCCTGTCGCCGTGGTGACGAGTTCAAAGAAGAAGAAAAAAGTTTAAAGTCTCGCCCTGAAAAAACGCGCACACACACACACACACACACACACACACACACAGGATACAGTAGGCATCATTTAGTGAGGAGAGCTCCGGGGTCAACCACGGGGTCGCCGCACTTACCGCACGGACAAGCTCATTTCCCCCAACGCCACCGCCGCCACCATCCACCACTGCCCAGGCTTCCCCTCTGAGAGAGGGGTGTGTGTGTGTGAGTGTGTGTGTGTGTGTGAGTGTGTGCAGCCACTGAAATGGCTCATTCACTTTCTGATCACACACTCACACACTCACAGTAACACACAAACACACACACACACTCACAGTAACACACACATCGTTCCTCATGGCGTGCCGTCTTCATGGTCGTCTTTTTTCTGTTGTCACTTCCTCTCTGTTCGTCTGGTTTCATCTTAAATCCTTCATTTCTCCTCCTCCTCCTCCTCCACCTCCTCCTCCTCCTCCTCCTCCTCGGTTCCTGCAGATGTGGATGGATTCTGGACCTGCTGGACGGATCAGAACCGTTTCCTCCTTTCTCTCGGACTCGTCTGATCAGAACAGCCGACGATGTTTCAGAGAGGAAGAGGAGCCAGAGACAGGCCCAAGCTGCTGTCACACACACTCACACACTCACTCTCACACACTAACACACACTCACACACAGACACACACACACACACACACTTCCTCTCTCACAGTCAGATTTATGTGTGAGCGGCCCAGAAGGCACAGCAGTGCTGAACCGATCCTCTTTTGTTGACTTGTAGCTCTGCCAGCTCTCAGTATGAAGACGTCTGATCAGCCAAACGGTCTCTCTCTCACACACACACACACACACACACACACACACACACACACACACACACACACACACACACACACACACACACACTCTTCATGTACCTGTAACAGGTGTGTCACCTGAAAACAGCTGATCCTCCTCCTCATTATTATTAAACAGAGGCTGTTAATCTATTAGTCTAATTATATTAATTTATCTGAAAAATACGGTGGTCGAGAACAATAAAAAGAAGTCACAACAGAAGTTAAGGATGCAAAAAAATGAAACCAAAAAATTTTTTTAAAAAGGGCGATGGAAAAAAATAAAGTTTCCTACTGCAAAAAGTAAAAGGATCCAAATAAAAAAAGAAATGGTGGAGTTAAAAAAAACACAACGGAAGTTAACAACGCAAAAAAAGTGGCGATGGGAAAAAAAATTACTTTCTGCTATAATAAAAGGATGCAAAAAAAAAAAACAGCGGAAGTTACTGTTGCAAAAAAATAATAAACTGAAACCCGCTGCGAATAAAAAAAGAAACGGTGCAGATAAAAAAAAGAAAATCAAAACAGAAGGTAACTACCAAAATAAAGTGGCGATGAAAAAAATGTTTTTTTACTGCCAAAATAAAAGGATGTAAATAAAAAAAAAAAAAACTGAAGTTAACGATTCAAAAAGAGTGACGATGGAAAAAACAAAGTTACTCAGATAGATAGATAGATAGATAGATAGACTTTATTGATCCAAAGCTGGGAAAATCTCACTTTTCTTTGTAAACTTTTTTTTTTACTAACTTTTTTTTTTTTGGGTGTTAACTTCTGTTGTGTTTTTTTACTCCGGTTATCCCTCCTTTTATTATTTGCATTCTTTTTTTTATCTGCAGCAGTGGCTGTTCTCGGCCACCGTAGAGAAAACCTTTGACTCAGAGCGGCTCCTGCTCTGCGGT